GACCATGCCGGGTCGGGTCAAGTACATACCAAATATAGTTATGGACTTAGACACTATATCCAACAACTTTATGAGTGTAAGAGTATATTAATGGTGTTATTGAAGGAAGGATAAGGAAAGGAAACCATCTTGGAAGCTTAAGGCATTTATGATCCAGAAGTGTTTCACCCTCAACAATCATTTGGAGGTATAGAGTCTGAAACTTGATGAGTATTTGCTTAGATCTTGTAAGCTTGGAGTTTGTGCTCATTTTGATCCCATAAGTTTGGTGTTCATGAGTATAGCTTACTCTAACCCATAAGGGTTGTCCACCCAGACATTTTTAGGTGCTTAGGACTATCAAAATGTGATCTTGGTCCATTTTATTTCTTCATGCATGAGATATGAGGTTTTGATTTATGTATTAAGTTAGGGTTTAGTTGTTGGACCCTTTATAGCCTTGGAAAGTCATAAAGTCGGAAACTTTATGACTTAGAATGTTTATGGAACTAGATATGAGTTTTAGACGTGGTGTCTTAATAGATTAAGCACTTAATATAAAAGAAAAGGTGGAAACCGAGTACGTTGGGCGTACCTGATGGTACGTTGCGCGTACCTATTCGAGACCCCGTAACCGGACCAAGGGTGCACTATGTTGGGTGTGGTAGCTAAGTACATCGAGCGTACTCAGTCTGAGTTGACCCATTGACTTTTTGACTTTTGACCTTTTACCACAATTTTGACCAAGTTTGACCTAAGGGCATTGTGGGTATTTTGAGCAGTAGTTTGAGTTTAGGTCATTTTTTGTTGTGTAGGTGACCTGTAGAGTTGACTTTTGGAGCAACATTTTTTTTTCTATCTTTTCTGACTGTGAGGTGAGTTTCCTCACTGTTCGTTGCTCGAAGGCACCAACGCCAACCCATTCAGTTATGTATCCTGGTATATTCAGTTATGTATCCTGGTATATAGGATGTTGCCATGATGTAGTGATCTGTTAGATCTGTATAACTATTTGTTTGTTGTTATATGTTTATATGTTGCATTTGTCGACATAGTGTAGTTGGGTTGAGCAAATACAGTTCTGTGCGGAAGCCAACACACCCGGGAGTAATCTAGACATAAGCTGTGGGTCGGAAAGGCAAGACAGACTTATGTTGTGGGCTCGGGAGTAAGCCAGACATAAGTTGAGGGACGGAAAGGCGATCCAGGTGTATGTTGTGGGCTCGGGAGCAATCCAGATATGAGATGTGAGCCATAAAGGCAAGCCAAACTCATGTTGTAGGCTTAAGGGTAATCCAGCCTGATGGATGTGGACTTAGTACGCATGTTGTTATATGTTTGTGTGGTGGTATTTTGGGGGAACTTACTAAGCTTTCGCTTACCGTTTAAGTTTTACGTTTCAGGTACTTCAGATGATCGGGGGAAAGCAAAGGCATGATCGTACACATCCTTTGGTGATATGTTTTGGAGATCTTATCATACATTGATTTCGGAACAATTGTACTTGATCTTGGGTTTTTATTACTTGGGGTTTGATTGAAAACAATGATTTCTCTTTAATTAAAAATGAGAAATTTTATTGTGATTTTCAGATGTTACAATCCTCCCTTATATATATATATATATATATATATATATATATATATATATATATATATATATATATATATATA